GTAACCAAGTTATTCACTAAGGGGCGTTCGCATCATTCATATGATACAGAAACGCTCCTGGATATCAAATTATGTATTTAGCTTGCTCCATTTCAGAAAAGTGTTTATATACTTGGAGGAGGTGCAATGACGGTCAACAAAACTTTGATCCTCACTTTATTGCGGAAAGTCAGATAAGTGCACGTGTGTCGCTTATGCTTATATTTGCGTCTAGTTCATGACGGATGTGTTGTACGGATTATTGCATCCCGGTTTTTGTGTACGTGATACTTTTAAACAAGCAACAATGATATTTACTTGAAACAGACGTATCAAATCTCACACGCACCAGAGGTTTCCTCGTGCTCAACTTGCAACTTAGGATTACGGAAAACTCATTATTTATGCTTAAAGGAAAACCCTAAAGAATTCTGTTTGGCATTCCTCATGTAGATAGGAAATGAGAACTAGCGATTTGTACTACGATGCGAAGTGTAAATATGATCGGTTCCAGAATCTACGTAGTAAATATTCCGAGTCGCTCAGCTTTCCGATTCATGTCATGCTGGCCGAATTTTTTTGCATGGTATATACTTCCGGAAATTTCAATTTTAATAATAAAAGAAGAAAGTCAGCTATGTACGACGCAGACATCAACAGACCCATTTTTCTGTATTAGAAAATATGATACAAACTCTTGAATTTTATCTTTTCATGCAACAACGTTTGTATTTTGCTTAAAAAAGACACCATTCAGTTAATCCCAGTAGAAAGTTGAATTGTGCAATAGAGATGGCAATGAAAGTGTTAACTAGAATAAGGCATAGAATGCAATGTGTGCTTACTTATCAATCACTGTTTATCATATGATGTCGACAACGCAAATAAGTACGAATCAATGGCAATCCTAAGGATCCTCAGACAGCCCGCATTTAAAATGCGATGTGTCACGACAAAAGTCAGCTTATCTCCTGGTTCAGATTTCTTCACCTCAAGCTCCTTCAAATAATAACGGATATTATCAAAGATCAGTGAAAATTTAAACTCCTCGTGAAAGAATGGTCAGTTATTGAATGTTGAACGCATGATTTTTGACTGAGGCTAATTCCGGGGATACGAAAAGAACCATTCGAAAATCAATCCAGAAACAGACTTAAGCGTCTGGGAGGTGTTTACAGTAAGACTGCAACACGAGGAGGAATTCAGGCGTACATGGATCAATATTTTTTTCATTTTCACTGTTTGTGTCATAAAAAGCACCTTTAGTTTTTAAACAGAAACAGCACGGACCACTGGACAGAAAAACTGTAATCTCATGTAGATACCTTTATCACCTCCGTTTTCAGACTGAAATCCTCCTTTGAGACTGTCGTACCCGAGGTCACTGGACGCCAATCCACTAGAATAGAGCTCAGATGGGAAAGCAAACCGGAACACAACAGAGGCGGCGAACATTTCAATGCAGATGAGGAAGTTTTGAATGCCTGCAGCTACTGTACCAGCATTGGTGTTTGGTAGCGCCGGAATGACTTCAAATTTTTCCAGTATGGCCAAAATCACACCTAAAAAAGACAATGGACGGTCTGATTTATAAAGTTCCAGTGAGCACATAACAAATAAAGGTTCATCAGACATGAATCACGTATGTTCCTACGTTTACGTGTAAGAATCGATTAGAATCGAGTGATGTGCTAATTTTACATCTCATAAAGCCCCTATTAAATGTCCAAAAACGGATCAGGATGGGTGTCCACCGAGTCGGTCTTTTGTTGAATGTGACCATGGTTCATACAATGCAAGTATAAGGTAAGCTTGGCGCTCCATGTGGTATTTATATAGTATAGCATAGTAGTATATAGTATGCGTTATCGACGCACTTCGCTGGTTTACCCATCTATGTAAAGCTCTGTATTGTCACTTGTACCTGATGGTGGTCACCAGGGGAAAATTAAGCTGCATATCCTGGATTATATTGTCCTTATTCTATGGTGCAACAGGGTCACCGATTAAAAAACGGATGGGTCTACTGGTCGTACTATTGACGAATTCGGGCTGCACAAATGCTAGTATCTAATGATACCCTATTACTCCGGAGATCCGATAATTTATGGAAAAGTAATTTCGAGTCGCCGCAAGTGCTGACCATATAGTTTAGAAAACAGAGTAGCAAAAGTACCCATTTGCCGGCAGTTAACTCCATTAAAATACAGAAAAGCAGAAAAATTATAACAACTGAACAATCAAATAGACGACAAAAAGAAGGCAGACTCAGAACAAAAACGGTTCAGTTAGCATTTTCAGAGGGCTGGGTAGAAGTAGTGTTGACTGGTGCTGTCGTGATCAGCAATAGGTGGGTCGAATAAACAGGTTATGTATTAATGTCGCCAAATTAAGTGGCCGGCCGTTTATATAGTAGACGTTCCATCAGATGTTTTTACTAATGTGTATACTGATGAGGATGGTGCCGCGCAGAGGAACAGGCAGTGTTCCAAAGGTAGACCACTGTATAACCAGCCGATGACCATTGTTAGGAGTCAACCACATCCTTCGCACAAAGTTTTTGAGCGACAGGGTTACAGCTATCCAGACACCCTAGCCTTGATGTGACTATTTTAATGACATCAACCTCAATAACGACCCTTTGATGACTGTTCTGAAAAAAATCAATGCATATATATATATATATATCACGTATATATATATCATACCATATATATCATCTGTATAACAATTTGATTGATGTGGGAGACACATATGGAACCAGGCTAAATCTCTCGTTTGTGATGCACACATTCATAGTGGTCGTCAGCGAATACCCAGACAGCAACGTCATTTCATTCTTACTGGGTACAGCCAAACAAGTGTAAATGGACTCGAGTTAACACAGGATCCGTCTTTCCTTATTTCTCGCGTTTGACGTTCAATTTCGGGCATAAAAAGATTAACCACAAAGTTTTACACCATTTGATGATTTGAACGGAAACAGCACTGTTCTCTTCCAAGTGACAGTAACAAGATGCAACAAGATTTGGGTTATGTTGTCGAATTGATGATTAGACGTTGGCGTGGTAAAGGCGTACAAGAATCTGCATGATTAGGAGCCTCGGAAATTCAATACTCAATGTGGGTATACTAACTATTGTGTCACATCTACTCCTCTGTTTTAATGCGTTGTAGTTCAGTCAAAAAACCGGGGCAAGAATTATCACGTCCACGTTGCGGTATTTTATACGTTCGATATCCGGAGATCATCATGCGGATTCTTGTGCACCTTCCGAGCACTCACGCTTACAAGCAGCAACTGCCTTAAATTCATCCAAACTTCTATGACTACGTGGAATGACTGAATACACTCAACCGAATAACTTGCCCCATTGTTGGGACCGTCATCGGAAGGATGGGTGTGGTCGCGCGATTACTTAAGTATTACAATAAGAGTCATCGGGACAACCATAGCGATAACAAAGCAGAGTACTCATCCAGTCCAGAGACACCGCTAGCCACGTTAATCACGCTACTTAAGCAACTCAGCTGAAGTTAGGCATGCTCATTGCGTTTCTCTGCTGGATCCAGTTTGGTTTCACGCTTCTCACCGACACGGACGTACATCTATTACGCTTGTGAGTACAAATCAGCAAATTATCGGTCCAATGGTTAAATAATCCGCATTAACTACGCTGTGAGCGTCATGCCTTGACCCAGCAGACATAATCTTCTATTCTGTTCTGTACTAGTCGCTCGATAGATGCCTGAGGCCTGTTCAGCCGTGATGAGATAATTCAGGTCGATTGGTGTGAGTGGGTACAGTCACACCACGTCCTGATTTCACTGGCCTCCGTATTAGCATGCGAGTGTTCTGTGTGCACCACACATGAACCTCACCACAGTGGTTTACTTTACATGAGGAGAACCAGTCAGGGAAGCATACGTGTTGGGGATGTGATTGTCTTTCCTGCTTTGTAGGCAATTACTCCGCTTCTTCAAGCTATTAACAAAGACTTTTTACTTGGAGTCGGAGGATTTCTTATTCAAAAGTACACCACCGCAAATGCTCGGCTTAGCCATTGTCTCAAAATAAAAACACATCAGAAAAAAATTTTCTCCACCATTTCTCTTTTGTAAGATTGCTTTCAAAATCAGCAAGTTCAGAGGTGGCCAACGCCATAGAGTGAATTCAGAAACGTGGTAATTCTGACAGGGATTAGGTTCCTTTTCAAACTCATCCCGGTAGAAGTTTTTGCTCAGTTTTCACCCGGCATTCATCTCATAAAGTAGTTTCACACATCTTGGAAGCACAAGTCAATGCAGATGCCTACGAATAGTGCACAGCAGAGGATGAAAATTAAGTTGTACTGGTTCGTTGTGGAAAAGTGGTCGACATATCCCTTTACTAATTCATCTCCTATTGGGAAATGTCGACGAAAGCTCAATAAGGCGACAAGCTTAGCTAAACACAGTTCACTAAAGGCCCATTTATTCTACCGCTCGGTACTTTATAACCCAAAAGCAAAACTACGATAGTACTACCGTATAAATTTCAATATTTATTCCGCACCTTGTGTTTGGAAGCAGTCGCATCATTCAAACGATTGCTTGGAACGTAGATATTTTATTTCTTCCTCGCTGACACAGTGGTACCCAGGGCGTTTTTGCCGAAAGACGTAAAATGACTGTGACATCTGCTCCACTCAGCTTACGTTCTACTACCCAGTTTGTGAGAATCAGGACAAAATACCTGAGCACTGAAAACTACTTTTGGGGAGATTCACTGTTCGTCTCATCTCCTGCCACACCAAGTTGTTGATACGATGCCCGGTAATGTCATATGTTCCGCTTTGTTTTTTAAGTAAATTCAACCGTTGAAGAAAAAGCTGTCATTAGATGAGAGTGGTTAACTGCCACAAATCGTACGGGCTTTGTTACTTAAATGTTGTCGCTTGACAGACCATGTTTGACTGGTATATACACCTCGCCTTTCAAAAATGTCGGCCACAGAAACGAACGGAATACACACCTTGGTACGCCACTACCTGAAACTGTAACCACACAGTCAAACTCAGCCATGCTAACAAAAGCAAAAATTTTGTAATTAGCTGAGGCCGTTTCCGCTGGGCTGGGCAATTCATTTGCACGATCTTAGTTTCGCGAGATGCACACTGCTGACGATTCCAAATAGAGATAAGATAGCTGTACAGAGCTTCTCTGATTTTCAGGACAGACTGGCTTTACTGAAACCTCCGTTGCAAACCCTTGGTCACCAACCAAGACTGCATCTTCAGTGAGTAACAATTTAGCGGTTTGTCTTAGGGGAAGCTGTGTCACATCGGTTGATAACGAAACTTTCTCAGCCGAATTGTCAGTACAGCAAAAACTGTGTAGCCACCTGCACGGTTGGAGCCACCAATATTTCCCTTTGTAACCAATATATTGACCTGTCCGTTTATTTTTTAGATTGGACTGAGAGCAACCGGTCTCTTACTGTCTCCTCGCGAGAATTACCAATACAAATACTGATGATTCAGTCAGTGAAGGCATCCGGTTCGAGTTGTAGGGATACCCAATCGTTCTCACGACTGCCCCAAATTTAGTTTAAATGCATTGTCCTCTATTTCTCTTTAGCTTGGGTTATTCTTAACATTGTATCTGAAGATTCCGAATCGTCAGGTTCAGAAGAATGCTAAAAGTGACTGTCTGTGACCAACGTTTGACAGAACAAGTCGAATAATGGGTAACACTGGCTGGGCACGCGCATGCGCCTTGGGTGAGTTTCCAGAGTGGTGCAAACCACAAAGCCGCTGAGGGTCCCAGATATTGTTCGCTTCACTCTCCAGTGGTTGGACACATTGGCGGCTTTATTAATTCCTTCTTATGTCCATGGTTTAATCATGCTCCATTGTCCGGTTTACAGGGTTTCGTTTGTTGTACATGCGGTCGAACATGAGTCCATACACGCCTACCATTCACAACAACCGTATGCCCGTTCTCACAGCATCACAGCGCAGGAGACTCTTCCTGACAAACTAGTTGGTTATTTACTCTACTGCCCGATGTCAAAAGGCAAATCCAAAGCCGGTTTTAGCGATATGGCGAGGGTTAAAAAGAGCATCTCAAAACAGGTATATGGGAACACTACCTGATAAAGAACGGTGTACTGATAGAAATCCTATCTGGATTTAGGTTGTATAATGAGGCGCACATACTACTGGCCTTAAATCAGCCTTAATCTCTTGCTTAGAGGGACAGCAGTTTACATGTCTGTATAAAATACGTATGCATTTGGGCAAAAGTACGAGACGAAGTGCATATTATTCGGCTACTTTTTGGTCTTAAAGAAAACTGCAAAGTGACGCTAACGACAGGACAGAAGGAATAGTATTCCAAGTGTATTTGGAAACTGACCACAGTTTATACGTCCTCAGCGAAACCAAATTCGCTTTAATTTAACTGCGAAGAGACAAAACTCAGACAGAGGCTTTAAGCGCAAAAACACCAGCTATCAAGTGAGAAATCTGAACAATTTTGTCCCGTTTATTCACTTCATCAAAGCAGTAGAAACACAACGCCTGCGAGGTAAGGGCCTTCTGATTAAAAATAGTTATTTGTCGCGATCTCTAGATCAACCCTTGTCTTTTCACTGCAAAATGACGCTTAGAATAACGCCCATTTGGTTCGAAGAGAAAGCTATTCCATCTATTATTCTGTCACTGAAGGTACACAGGTCAACTGAAAGGCGTTTACTTACCTTGCCAAAAACACAAAAACACCACTGACTTTACTGCAGCAAACTTGATCACCGGATCAAACGGCTGCAGTATATCCCGTGTAGCAAGGAAGAACAAAACCAGAGCGTAAAGTGCTACGAAGGCTGATGCATTGTAAATCACGGTTACATACAAGTAACCGTTTGTTACGCTAAAAGTAAAGAAAATGAAAAGGTTGATCGTGATTAAACAGTTCACTTCTTCCAAACTACAGTCGTTGTATACCTGTGACTTTCAACCCAATTCAATTGAGTGAAAACAAGCAACTTGTGATCAGAAAAGCTTCTTTTTGTTGTGCAATATCCTGCTCTTCCAGAACGGAGTCTATCTATGGATGTTCGATTTTTGCCTGACGTAAGTTTTGTTGCACTACTTTCCGGTATTAAAAACATTGGAATTAATCAATGAGTTGAGCAATGGCTAATTTATCCCAAAGTTGCAACTTCACAATGAGTATGCCTGTTGACACTGACTTCGGTTTGCCTGTCTACAAACTGCCAGTGGCATGACCATAAGGTCTAGTGGACGTAAACTGATGTCTAGCGAGATGAGTTTGTTTATCTTTGTGAGATACACACCAATAGGCAAGCTCATTATTCACAAATGAACGGATTAATCGGGATGTAATTTGTGTAGATATGAAGAAATAAGATGCCGCAATTAATATTGCCGTCAGTTCCCTGACAACCACTCACCTGAATATCCCGTGCTTGTAGACACCCGCTGCTTGTAGAATGATTGTAATGATGGATGTCAGTGGTCTGATCAGACAGAACTGTAAAGTGGCCTGAAAGGAGGAAGTAACAAAGATAAACGCAAACCTACGGACAGATTAACTGAATCAGTTGAATGAAACTACCAGGAATCAAAGTGCCAACGAAGCAGCACATCAACAGTTGCATTCAACCCCAGTCGAAAACGACTTTGGATCAAATTCCTAGTTCATAAAGTATTTCGTAGCAAAGAACTTTGTCCGTTCCACATGCAAACAATTAATATATTAGTCGCATTTACAATCCTTTTTGAACTATATAAACGCTCTCGGAACAGCGGTTGACTATCGGCGAGCATGGTCGAATATTCAGCGAGTTTGTTTACCCTACTAATAATTTATCAATAGTGCGGACTATATCAACCATCGACAGACACCAAACGACAGCTTGGTGGATTACCGTCACTCCAGGTTTCTTTGAATGACCATATTCAAAATGACGAGGAAGATCACGACCACTGACCTAAAACTGTGTACCAATAGGTTCTCAGTGTTCACTGGAGAGAAACCGACGTGGATGGAGCCTGAGAGTAAAATAATTGACCAGGTGTGGAGTGCAAAACTTCCATGTGATAAAATCAGCTTGAAAATCCAAGCATGTCAAACGATATTTTCGCAAAGAGTGGGGACAGAAAACAGTAGATCTGCCAGCCAAACTCATGTTCACTCTGATGGATCCTAAAACCTGAATATCGATACAGTTCACACTAGGTGACATGTATATA